TTATTCGATCTTACAATTTTAATTTTGTCAAGTATACTGTTGGATATAACAACTATATAGTATTGGCAAGTAGCCATTTGCAGAATCCTTTTACTGGAAATAGACACTATGATATTTCTTAAGATTTTTATAGTGCGAAATACCACAAACTATCAAACATCCACAAGAATAAAAATCATATGTATTTTTGATAGTAATTATATTAATAACATAGACACATTGTAAGTATAGTTGGTTTTTTTATACATACATTTTAAACAATTAAATGAGTAGGTATGTATTAATGTTTTTGTTAATATTTAAAAATAGTAAAAACAACGTTCTTAGAATAATTGCATTTCTTAAATATAATTACCTGTAAATTAAGGGTTTAACTAAACTTAAGATCTAACCAATCAATGTAAACAACCCTTACTGGCATTATTATAGTTATTTACTTACTATATATCAAATAAATTAATAAAGAGGTAGCAAAGTGTCTGACCTTCGTTATCTATGCTGCCATACTAAACTTTTCAGTTGTTGATTAAAAAGATTTCAAAAATTGTCTTTTAAATATGCCAACTGACATAAAGTTAGGCCATTTTCTATTAAACTTTTCACAAGTCTGTGCATGAATTTACATTATTTCTTTTACATTTTTACGTCTTTGTAAGAAGATTTAGCGTAATTTTAACGAACGTAGAAAGTTATTTTAATATACCTACCATTAAATTATTTATCTCACTTGAAAGCATTTATTTTAAACTACCCTATTTTCTTGTATTTCTACACTTTTTTAATAATAGATTAGTAAATAATTGATACCATTGACATTAAATACTATTTATAATCAATACAACACTTAAAAGAGTTTTATKACGGTTGGATACTTCGATAAACGATTCAAATAAGTTCAGCATGGTTGTACTTACCTCATTTATTACAATTATCGATTTTCATTTATCATTTAAAATTGAATATTTTTATTAAAAATAAAACTGTCTGCATTCTCAATTCTATRTAATAGACCTTTGTGGATGTTGAATATGAATTCATTTTATGCTAGATGTAATAGTAATGAATTTTAAAGAAATATTGGTACATTTTTCTGGGAAGTATATCTATAAATACCTTTTGTAGGCAATTTAATATCAACTAATGATGAACGCCACCAGTTTTTGGCAGACTTGATATTATACAATAMTARGTAGGTATAATATAATATATATTATGATTACGTATGCATAATTTTTATTATATTAGTAATAGCAACTTACCATCTGCATTTACTTTTAATGCAAACCACAATCCATATGATAAAAAATAAATAAATTAGGTTATAAAAATTAATATTTTTAACTGTGGAAATTGTAACTCGATACCCAGGGTTCTGGTATTGAGCATTAAGTAATTTACAATCTATAGAATGTAAGTAAATAAACGAGTTTTATGTTCCTAAATAAGCTATTTTATGAATAGAAAAAATTTACAAAAAATTTTATATCATAAATAGGTATTATAATAACTATTTGATATTTATACAACAATATTTTAATGAAAAATGTTCGCAATTTATGCATTTATATGGTAACTATTACAGTAAGCAAAGGAATCAATTTAAAAAAAATGTTATATATGATATCAAAATATTAAGTTAAAAGGAACGCAATTTTTTATTTTTTGGTACATATGTATAATTTATAGACATATATAGTTTCCTTTTTAACTTATATTGTGATTTGATTGATATTTTATATAATATTTAYAGAAGTACTATAGATGATTGTATTCATTAAAAAAAGTTTAAGATCGTTTGTATAGCATCATATTAAAATTGGATATATCTTGTAATAAAAAAAAATTATAGATCGCAGAGGAACTGGTGTGTGATTATTTATTTTTAAATTGCGCTATTTTAAATGCATGATCATAACGGAAGAGCTATGAAGACTACTTTTTATTTATACATACAACGCTCACACTTGTTGTGACGATTTCCTGAAAATTCATCAGCAGTATATTTTTACACTGTCTGTTGTCAGGTCGAAATTCGGTCACCAGTGAAAAAAAAAGTTAACTATAACATAAAATGTTCACTTTTTGTTTCAATTTCAGGATGAGAGATTGAAATTTGGTGACGATAAAACTCTTTCAGAACACTTGAAATTACCAATACAACGAATTAATGATTATCAATTACTACTCAAGGTTAGTTATAAGGCTCTATACATAACTTAATACAGTAAAAAAAAAAAACAGATTATTTTACATGAATAATATATAACGTAATGCCTACAATGATAAAATAGACAAAAAAAATAAATATATATTATAAAAAATCAATGAAAGAAAATCTTAGGTAACAATTATAACTTTAAAACATATTTTGCAATAAATATAATATACATTTTATTTATTTTCATTATTTCTTAATAATTGGATGCAGAATACTACGTATAGTTGTATAAATAATTTCTTCTCMTATATAATATCTAGAATTATTTATTTATTTTAAACTTAAAATTTTCTTATAAACTTTAATATGGTTTTATACTTATTTAATATTTAATTTCTGAATTATTTTTCATAAATTGTTTATATAAACTTAAAAGCATGTATTACACTTAACACCATATCTATTGAATATTTTCTAATATTTTAAGTAATATCGTTAAACTAATAGTGCTCTTCCTAATCTTAGAATTTAAAAGCAGCTTAACTATGGTCAGGGTTGTTGGATGGCAGTTGTATAATTAGTAATATAAAAACATTTTTTTTTTTTTTAATAAACGGAAAAACATTTCCTTGAATTATTTTTTATCAGCGTCTTTGCGATAAATGTATGACAACAAATTTAATTTATATTTTACGTTATACAAACAATATACATATTTTATTTTATTAGGAATTAGTGAAATACTCATTACTCATAGGAGAAGATACTACTGATTTAGAAAGAGCTCTGGAATTGATGCTATCAATTCCACACCGATTTACCGACACGAAATTTTTAACTAATATAGAAGGATTTCATGGCACTATACATAAACTGGGCCGATTGTTAAAACACGTAAGTGGACTACGACTACGTTATTAATCATCAAAAGTTTATAAATATCACTGAAGGTTAAATTTTGTATAGTCGGTGGTTTTTTCCTATATATTTTTAACATGTGTTTTTGTGTGTTGTTTTATACATAGATTCTGAATTGAAAGATTCATAGTTCATTMTTATAAAAATCTAGTATTGATAATCAATGTTCATACCTATTCAACAATTGTATATTTTATTAGAATACACTATATACATTACATTACTATTATAAAATTATAGGGATGGTACTACGTACAAGACGCCGAAGATCCTAAAGGGCATCAGCGCTATTGCTTTTTATTTAAATCTAGAATCCTTGTCTGTAAAGTTCGTCGTATATCTGAAGATAAATCTGTCTTCGTACTGAAAGATATAATTAGAGTAATATAGTACAATTCAAAGTAAATATAWACAATTATAAACAATATTATTTTTTTTTCAAACAGTTACCCGAAGTTACTGTAAAAGCAGCTCCAGACAATAAGCGTGTATGGATACTTCATCATAGACTAGGAGAAGTTGGAAATTATCCTTTCACCTTCAGGGCCAATGAAGATTTGATTCGGGATCAATGGATTACAGAAATTGAAGAACATAGAAACGATTTACGTAAGTATTGAATATATATATTTTTTTAATGATAATTATATTTTTTAATAGATGATTTAATTAATATTATACATTAAAGCATAAAAATAATTTAAATATTCTAAAAAAATGTATAATGGGATTATCGGTTAAAAGGTGAAAAAGAAGATTTACAAGACCAATTTTGGGAGCGAGAATACGTTTCTATAACAGAATCTTCTAAATCTTCTATTACAGGTTCATACAAATAAATTACGCGTATGCTTGATCTGGTTTTAAATAAATAATAGTTGCAACTATTAAATAATTTATTAAAAAGCTGAGATTTTTTAAAAAATTGTTATTAACTTGAGCATATTAAAAATAAGTATTACACGCGCTTTAAGCTATTAATTACAATTATAATACGCTGAACTTGCTTCTTTTTTATCATAATGTTAATTATAAGTTTTTAGTTAATGATTTTATATTTTAGTGACAAATGTTGAACATAACAGTGACGATATCAAAGTACAAAAACAAAAGGATGAAGATCTATTTGAACCACTTAAAGGTATTGAATTAGATATTTCTTCAGAAATTGAAGAAGGTTTAGATCCTATTGAAAGGCGATTAGCACCTAAACCGTTGAAACACGTTGAAGAGCCAAAACGTCCACCACTTACACTTCCACCTAAAGAACCAATATTTGAATGCACATCACCACCTGAACCTCAAAAACGGCCAGAACCTGAGAAAGTTGAAGGTTAGTAATGTTTGAATTAATAATTTTTTTATATATAAGATATAACCCCCGTTGACACTTCAGTGTCGTTTACTTTTTTCTCGTGTAACATTAAATAAAAATTACCCTCATAACTAGGGAACGGATTAAAATTCTCTATTATAAACTCTTGCAATTTCAATGTTTTATAAACCGTAAAAAAATAAAAAATATCCTTGTTTAAACAAACTGTTGTTATATGTGTGAATATTTGATTTCGTCAAAATTTAAAATTCAACTGTCATAAAAAAATATTTCATCTTTTGCTAAACTTTTTTTAAATATCCTGTAAAAAAATAAGAAGTTATTGTCGAGCTTTGGATGTAAAACATCGTCTATTCTGTCACTACTTTTAATTAAAAACCTTTATATTATTTTCTTTATTCAGAATAAGAGTATTGCGAAAACGGTTTTGGGGATTGATGTGTGTATTCTATTATCCTTCCGGAAACCTTTATTCTGAATTGAGTATTAATAGATAGTATAATAATATAGTATAGGAAAATCATAAACATAACTCATAAGTAATTAAATAATTTTCCTGAGAAATATATTTTGGAATGTTAATAAACAGGTTAAGTATTGTTAGTACAGTACAATGCATACCTACCTATATACTAATATTATCTCCTTCACATCGCCAAATCCATCGATAATATACGTCAAAAGATTTAATGAAATCATAAATATATAAGTAATTGATAAATGATGATTCTGTGGCTACATGACTTCTAATTAAAAAATACATTTGAAAAAATTATATCGAAAATTGAAAGTAAAGTTTTAATTTGGACTGCTATTTATGTTGGTATAGAACCTCMTGTGATTGAAATGCCTGTTCCACATCAAGAGGTTATTGCTGAAAAAGAAATAAAAGAGGAAGTGCCTATTCCACCAGTAGAACCAGTTCCAACGGAACCACCTCCACCAGAAAGATCTCCTTCACCAGCTGAAGAAGAAATTGAATCTGAACCATTAAAATATATAGAAGGTGTTTCAAAACCATACTTTCATGTCAATATTAAAGGAACTAATCGTGGAGGTTTGTTAAAAAATATTTTATTAAATAAAATAAAATAACTTATCAAGTATCTATATTTTTAATACATTTATCTATTAATGCAACTATTGTTAAAACTATATCGTTAAATGAAAAGGTATTATTGAAGAGTGTAATGAATGGTGGGACACTAAGGGTGAATTTAAATCAGGAAGATCAATGAATAACGAATCTTCTCTCGCAGGTGATAAACACGTGAGAGTAATGCAAATTTAAATTTGTTTTTAAATGTGCTTTTATTTTAACCAAAGCCAAAGTAGATTGAAAAATATTTTAAAAATCATATGGTGTTTATCAAAAAAATAATTGCTTATATACTACATAATGCTGCATTAAACGTATTTAAAGTAAAATGATTTCCTAATTACTATTTTTCTTATAATAGTTGGAGAAAATGCAATATTTGAATGTGAAATTGAGGGTGCTACAAATGTCACATGGTTGAAAAATAACATGCCATTACCAAATACTATTGCTAATCGAACTACCATAACAGAAGATAAAGAAAAAAATTTGTATAAATTACAATTAAATAAAGTAATAATGTCAGATTCAGGAACTTACACCGTTAAAGCTGAAAATGATTTAGGAGAGTCTACAAGTACAGCACTCCTATTTGTTGAAAATCGTAAGTTAATCCTTTTGTTTTTAAATGAAATGAACATTAACTATAAAACTTGAACATTTTCAGTTTCTGCAGATGAAAAGAAAGCAAGAGCTAAAGCGAACGCCCCAATTTTTGCTGTCAAACTTGCTGATACTCAGCTTTTAGAGAACACCCATGCTAGATTTATGATTGAGATAAAAGGAAATCCACTGCCTAAATTGAGATTGTAAATAGCTTTTTTTATTATATTGTATAAGTTTAATGTATTTATATTTGTATTATATTTATTTAGTTTCAAAGGAGATAAAGAAATATCTGAAGAAGATACAAGAATACAAATATTAGAAGTGAATAAAGAAAAAGGTCTCTATGAAATAATTCTACCTAACGTAAAACCTGAAGATGCAGGAGAATATAGAGTGATTGCTAGTAATAAATACTCCGAAGAATCATGTTCTTGTCATGTTTCAGTTACAAGTATGATGTTATATTATGTACTTTACTAGGTTAAACATTTGTATAATTATATATTTTTGTTTAGATGAAAAAGACTTATGGGCTGGAATGCAAACAATAGTACCAGATGGTACTCCACATTTTACCTGGTTGAAAAATGGAAAGCCATTCAACCCAGAAGAACGGTTTAAAGTATTATTCAAGGACGATGAGGATTCATTAGCTTTAGTGTTCCAAAACGTAAAACCGGAAGATGCTGGTTTATATACTTGTATTGCCTCTACTTGTCATGGAAAAATATCATGTAGCGCTGAGCTTAGTGTCCAAGGTATAATGAAATAACATATAATTATAGTGTTATAAATTAAATCGATATATTTAGCTTGAATTTTTATTAATTTTAGGTGTTGTGAAAGAACTAGATTTGCCTTATGCTCCGAAAATAACCACTGATGTGAAAGAATTTGAAACGAAAATCCAAAGCACAGCCATCTTAGAGGCTAAAGTAATCGGTGATCCATTGCCAGATATMATTTGGTTTAAAAATAATGAAGAAATTAATGAAAATGAACGAATAAAAGTCATGTTTGAAGATGAGATTGCTGCTATCGTGATAAAAAATGTTGAGGTTGAAGATGAAGGAGAATATAAAGTACTTGCCAAAAATGATTTAGGATCTGACACAGAAACAATCAATTTATCGATCAAAGCCGCTCCAAAGTTCAGAAAAAATTTAATTGACTATGAAGGTGTTACTGGAAAAGATATAACATTAACAGTTGAGATTGAAGCATCTCCAAAACCAATAGTACAATGGTAACATTTCATACATTTTTATAGTAAAATTTTTAATTTATCGATAAAAATTTATACTTTGTGTAGGTATAAAGATAGTAAAGTTATAAAAAAATCGAATAGAATAAAATATGTTACCGATGAAGTATCTGGAGTCTATACTTTAATTATTCAAGATTGTAAAATGGAAGATATTGGTTTATATTCAGTAGTTGCTTCTAACCAATATAGTCAAATATCTGATGCTTGTAGAATTAATCTTCAAATGCCTCCCCAATTTATCGGTGTTTTAGCAAAAGAGGTTGAAACTTTGGAAGGTGATTATGTATCATTGAGCGTTAGAGTAGAGGGAGACCCACCACCTCAAGTAAAATGGTAAAAACAATAATATTAACGCATGAAGAACAATTAAGTAATAGTTGTTTTATATTTCAGGTACTTTGAAGATAAATTGTTAATTGCTGATAAAACACACATCAAAATTAACGCTGTAGAAGACGTYCATACTCTTTTAATTAGTAATCTTACTAGGGAAGATTCAGGCAAATATACGTGTGAGATAAGTAACGAGTTTGGGAAAAATACAAGCGAAGGAAAATTGTTAGTCAAATGTCCACCAATTTTTGAAACACCTTTAACTGATACAAAAGCAATTGAAGGGGATACAAACGTAGAGTTTACTGTAAAATTGAATTCTTATCCAAAATCGTCAATTCAATGGTAAAGTAATGGGAATAAAAGCATAAATAAAACAAATTATTTAATTATTTATATTAATTTCTAGGTTCCGAGAGGAAGAAGAAATAACAGAAACAACTACAGAATTCGCTTTTTCCGAAGATGGAGATAATTTCAAGCTAATTATAAAAGAAGCAAAGACTAAATTAGCTGGCACATATAAATGTAGAGCAACAAACGAAATTGGAACCTATGATTCGGAAGCCACTCTTACAGTTATGTGTAAGATAAAGTAAAATTAAACTTAAACTTAGGTATTTCTATGAAACCTATTCTTTTATTCAATAGCACAACCTACATTTAAGAAAGGATTAAGTGACATGGAGGTAACGGAAGGAGGAATGCTAAAGCTGCAAGTGACTTGTCAYGGAAGCCCTATTCCAGAAATTAAATGGTTCAAAGATGGCAAAGAAGTACGTAGTGATGCCCACATCAAAATATCAAAAGACAAAAAAAGAGTGGAGAATTTTAGTCTCACTGTCAATCTTATAAAAGTAGAAGATGGTGGAGAATATGAAGTTAGAGCAACTAACGAAATGGGGACAGCTATTACTAAGAGTATAGTAAATATCCTAGGTAAAAACTTTTAAGACTTGTTTAGATATTTAAACAACAACTGTAATACCTATTTTATAATTAAAATTATTAAATTTTGGATAAATATAGGGCATGCGTTTTATTAAGCATGTTTTCGAATATCAATCCAATCCATTGTGAACTAATTTTTTTAATTTTTAATTTTAAATGTTATAATTTTGCATGACCTTTGAAAAAATAGCGAAACATTCAACTGATTTCAATGACGATGATAGTGAATCAGCTAAAAATAAAAATGAGGATATGGAAGAAAAAGTAGATAAAAAAGAAAAAGGTAAGTTGATTTTCCTAAATATTTTGTGTAAATAGAAGCTATTTTACTTATATAGCTACTTACAAAATATGTGGGATTTTTGGGATTTCATAGAATAGAATTATATATGCTAAAAGCTTAAAGTTGCTATTAGATAAATTTGTAAACAAAATAACATACGAAAATGTTAAATACACAGTAATTAAATTTATTAGTGACATTGCCAATCAAAATCGACAAAATGGAAAGCACCAAGGAGAAATTAGTGGAAATAAATGTGGAAGAAGATAGAAAAATTGGTATTTCATCTAAAACTAATATAGGTATGCAATTTTTTACAGGAGTCAAACAAAGGCATCTATGGTGTTCATATTACTTTCATTAAATTAGGTTATTATAATTAACGCGTTGCAGATGGTGATAAATCTATCAAAACCGAGGAAAGCTTAGTTATAATGAGCAGCCAGTCAGGAGAATTTAGTTGCGTGGAAATGAGTTGGGAAGAATCTTCTATTAAATGTAAAAATTACTATGGAATTGTAGAGGAACCTAGGGATGAACGAATTATACCAATTAAAATAGATAGAAGTATATCAATTCACACAGCTTCTGACGAAGAAGAAGAACCATTTTGGGTAATTGAAAGTGTAAAAAAACACGAAGAAGTAAGAAATGAGATTAAAAAAATGAAAGATAATAAAAGCTTTCAAGCGTCATTAGGAGATAATTATGATGAAGACGACGATAATTCTTTAATAGAACTACTAAAACGAGTACAAAAACAGCGAAATGATTTAGAAGATATATTGGAAAAGGAAAACTATACTATGAATAAATTTGAGGTAAATCATACAGACAATATATTATCACGGAGTAATAGCATGTTAAGTGAATCTTCTACACTAAAAGCAAGATCAGTTTCAAGGTTATCATCTTTAGAAGAGAATATAAACAATCCATATTTAGCTCATCCAGAGCTATCGGAAAATTTAATAAATGAATTAATTCCAAATAATTCTAATACTTGTACAAAAATTAAAAAAGAAACCTCATTAATTTCAGATAATTTTTCAAAACAACTTATTAGTAACAAAATCTATRATTCAGATGAACGAAAAAAAGGTATTTTGTCTACTGATACATTAGGGAATAGCTGCGAACATTCGGATGAAAAATATTCAAAACACGGAGAAAAAGTTTTGAATAGGGCTGATAGAAATTCAATATCAAGACTGTCTTCTATAGAAGAATGTGATAATTCTTTATTGTCTGAGAAAAATATTAAAGCGTTTTCTGAAACACCAAAAAGATTATCGTTGTCTAGATTGCCTTCTACTGAGTATAAAAAACAGGATTTCACTCTGGAAAAWTCTATTTCACCTATTATTAAACAAGATGAATCAAATAAAGAATCAATTTCCAAATTATCCCCTCGATATACAACAGAAGAATATGAAAATAAATTAACTATAATGAATAATACAATTGATGATAAAGTCAAACCAATAATAGAGCAAAATTTAAATGAGTCAATTCATTTTTCTGGCAAGCATGATTACTTAAATAATTTAAATGATAAACTAAAAAGTAATTATAAAACAGCTTTAGACAATGATAAATCAAATGAATCTACTCCCTTACACATGTCTAATATCGATGAAGCTGACTTTCGTAGAAAATCATTAATAAGACAGTCTAGTATGATAAGTGATGCTCTAAGTGCGATGTGTACTGAAATTTCCGAGGATAATAAATATAATGAACAAAAAAAACACTCTATTAAAGAAAATAATACTTATTTTAAATCCACTTTAAAAGAAAAAACTGATAACAATTTATTGACACCTTTAATTAAACCTGAAAGTACTAAAAAATGTTCAACATTTGACGAAGGTGATATAACAGATTCTTTAGTTGGAAATTCTAGCATTTCAAAAATCGCGTGTGATGAAAGCATTGAAAATAGTTCAACAACTAAATTAAATTCTGCCGATACATCTGAAATTAATGATAAGTCATATGACTCGTTACCATCAAAAGAATATTCTAAAATATCAAATACTGAACCATTARGGAAATTCTTAAGCTCCGAGTTAAATCAAAATATATTAACTGATTTAATTACGAAAAAATCAGAATCCGATCTTCAAAATGGAACTTTATACAATAACTCTCAAACTTCAAATGAATTCGTTCCTAATTTGTCAAATATTGAAAATGAAAGTTCTTTGTTAGATAAGGAAAATAATTTAAATAATGAGCAGCACTCAACATTTGAATCTTTGTCAAAAGATAAGAATCTGGATATAATTTTACCTAAGAAAGCTATTCCATCAAGTGATATTGAAAATTCTATAAACAATTTGCAACCTAAAGATTTAACAAATGTCCCATTGTTAYACCAAAAAGAAAGAGGAAATAACACCAATAACTTACAAATTCCGATTAAAGAAAATTCTATCGATAAAGAAGACGATATGGTTGAACAACCTATTCCAAGTTTATCAGATAAAGTAAATGTTAAGTTACCACTAAGAACGCAGCGAAAAGAAGTTATTGAATGTAGTACATCTAATAGCAGTACGAACATATTACATGATGATTCTCTTTCATTAAATTATTTTGATAATTCTAAAAATATAGTGGAAGATTTAAATCCTGATAATTCAATTCGTCTCTCATTATCAAAAGATATAATAGATTCCAACATTTTGAATAAACATTTAGTTACTAAAGAAAACGATTTAAATAACACTAAAATTGCAAATATCAAAGCAAAAGTAGATAAAATAGTTGACGAGGATTCTCTRAATGATACGAATAAAGAAACTGAAAATATATCAACATTTAAAACTTTTAATGCACTAAAAGAAGAAAACTATGATACGGCAAGAAGTGRAGGGAAACAAATAGGAGGTATACAAAATATGATGTATAGTAACGTCAGTGTTGTCTTTTATCTCTTGTCCGTTAAGAAATCGTCATTGTTCAGGTTATTTAAGCTACATATTGTGTTAAGTTACCGTGCGCCTAATACTGCATTATTTTAACCCATTTTGTTTTTGATGTCTATTATTCAAGATAACCAATAACAAATATTTTTTGGTTTTTGTGCTTGTAAATAATACATTTAAACATATTGTTTATACTTCCTCATAATTTGGTAAGATTTTTTTTTTAAGTTTAAAAAAAAATTATAATTAATTATCTTGTTTGAAATATCTAGTGCCTCCGAAGATTATATCTGGTATGGATGATGATGAAACTTATGAATCACTTACAAAAGTATTTAATGTCAAAGCTCGTGGTGTTCCTAAACCAAAAGTTCAATGGTAAAAGTTTATTGATTTAAATTCTAATAAAATATATATAACTACTTTATGTACTTTTAATATTTAAGGTTCAAAGACGGCAATGAATTATCAAAYACTAGAAATATCAAAATTAATGATTCCGATGAAGACGAATCATTTAAATTAACTATTCAAGATTTAAGAGTGGCTGATTCTGGTTCATATTGCTGTAAACTAACTAATGAAGTAGGAGAAGATATGAAATCAGCAAAACTTAACGTACAAGATGTAGAACTGCTCCGTGGGCCCAAAATAAGAAAACCACTAACTGATTTAGAAGTTAAAAAAGGTCAAAAAGTTGAATGGTCAATAACGCTCATAGCTGATCCCATTCCAGACGTTGAATGGACTTGTGATGGCAATAATGTCAATGCTGATTTTAGTATTGATTCATCTGAAATAGCTAATGGCCTTAAGGAATGTACTTTTACAATGATAATTCCAACTTCTGAACTTAGTGATACCGGTGTTTACCGAGTAAAAGCAACTAATAAGTTTGATTCAGCTGAATGTAGCGCTCGTCTAGATATTGTAATGAAACCTGAAATAGAAGGATTCCATGACATCACTGTAATACCGTCCATGGAAGCGGTATTTGAAGCAATTATTCATGCAGTACCTAAGCCTAAAATTGTGTGGACTATTAATGGAAAAGATTTATCAGAACGAGAATTTGTAAAACTCACAAGTGAAGAATTAGATAAAGATATAACAAAGTTCAAAATAGTTATTGGAGATGTTAATCCAGAAGAGGAAGGTGAATATGTAGTTAAAGCTTGGAATAAAGTGGGCGAAACTACTGCCATAGCTAACCTTAAACTTCATAGTAAGTAAATCTATCTAGGCTAAATTTACTAGGAAATAATTAATCAAATTAAAATTAAATTTTAGCTGAGAGACCTTCATTTGTTAAATTGATGGAAGATTTAACGATACAAGAATATGAAGAAGTTCAGCTATCTGTACGAGTTAATGGGATTCCAAAACCTAAAATCACTTGGTAATATTAATTATAATAAATATTTTATTAGAAATAATTACGTTTCTGCATAGGTTTAAAAATGGGGAAGTCGTAATACCTGACTTAAGAATCAGTATACATACAAATGAAGAAGGCCAAATTAAAAGTACTCTTACCATAGACCATTTCAGCAGTTTAGATATTGCAAACGTAAGATAATATTTATTTTTAAGTTAACTGTAGATTGACGTTTAATTTTTATTACAGTTCTCAGTTAAAGCTGTAAATATGATTGGTGAAGCTGAAACATCATCAAATTTAACTATGGCAGAAATAATGCCCTCTTTTGTAAAACCTTTTGAACGGATAACAGAAGGTGTTGAAGGATCACCAATTGAAATTCAAACACAACTTATTGGAAGCCCTCGTCCTCATGTTGCATGGTATAAAGATGGGGAAGAGCTTAAAAATATGGAAGGAAATAATAAGGATGATGAACCACAACATATTTCCCTAGAAGCAAATCCAAACGGCATTATTTCGATGAAAATTGATAAAGTTGAACAAGCAGATTGTGGTGCATATAAAATAATAGCGACTAATAATTTTGGTACAAGTGCTACTAATACTGCATTGGTAGTTAATGGTAAGTTCGTGCAATGAATAAATTGTATAACATGAAATTATATTTTAACTTAAGATAAAACTGAAATATGATAGTTTGAAAAATAAATAAATTGTATATCTTATTGAATTTAAAGTACTAAAATTAAATTATAAATAACAGAAAATTCTTAATGATAATTTGAGGAATTATTATTGTTTCTACATAATCTATTATTTGCATATAAAATCAAAGAAACGATCGTACTTTATAGTAACTGCAATTTAAATTTTTAGATAATTTTATACATATCATGTTAACAATTTCAGCATTTAAAACTTTTTGTTAAAAGTTTAAACATATTTTTCTAGAATTACCCAAAAAGCCAGTTATAATTAAACACCCAAATCAAGTAGACGTCAGTGAGGGTGAAATTTTAAAAATAGAAGCTCAATACGTAGCCTATCCAGATGCTATTGTAAAATGGTATAAAGATGGACATGTATTACATCCTTGTCCTCAAATTGATTTTGTGATGGGTCCCAACGGCAATATTGCTCTAGTAATTGAAAAAGCAACACTTGGAGACGCTGGTGACTATGAAATTGCTGTATCAAATGAACTGGGTAAAGCATCTGGTCAAATTCAAGTTAAAGTAAGACCAGCAGCTACAGTACCAGCTTTTATCACGCCTTTAAGAGATTCTAAAGTTGTAGAAGGATTTCCAGCGAAATTACCCTTTAGGATATCTGGTTTTCCACTACCAGAAATGGCATGGTAAGCAAGTTTTTTTTAAATTTCTAATACATATTCAATAAATACAATTACKTATATTATATTATATATTACATATTATACGTATATCTTATACAAGGACAATCAATGACAAGCCATTAATAGTGGATGGAGAAAAGATCAAAATAGCACATGAACCTGATGGTCTTCATTATTTATTGATTGAAAAAGCTGGTCCAGAACACGCAGGCAAACTTGCAATAATTGCTTCAAATGATAATGGAAATTCTGTATCAGAGGCTAAACTTTCGGTAACTTGTAAGTCAATATTTTTGTTTTTATTAATTAAATAATATATTATATTTAATTTGTGTTACAAAATATATACTATTGGAATTTACATTGTTGAACTGAAATATATATATATATTTATTTAATTTTTCAACTGTACATTAATGTATTTATGAATTCTAATTCTAAAATAAGTTTAATTAAAGCATTTATTATTTTYAAATTGTAATACAATAAATTTAAATTATTATTTTTTTTAAATAACTTATTGTGTACTGAAATATAATTACAGCAAAAATAAACACTGATTCGTTAGAATCTAAACCAGAGTTTCTTCATGGACTTAAAGATACCACAGTAGAAGAAAGCAATGCATTAACGTTATTAGCTCCATTCCTTGGTAACCCTATACCAGACGTTAAGTGGGAAAAAGACGGAAAAGTATTACAGCCATGCAATAAAGTTCATTTTACCTGTGATGGTTATAAAGTTGGACTTGAAGTACTTGATACCAACACAGGAGATGCTGGACAGTATACTTGCACTTTAACAAATAATCTAGGATCTACCAAATCTGACTGTCAAGTCGGCATTCGTAAACTTTATCAAGCTCCTGTTTTCACGCAACGTTTTTCACATAATCAACAAGTTAGAAAAATAAATGCTCAATATTGTAATTGTATTTTGTTATTCTATTAATTATTGATTTAGTTGCTTTCAAGAGACGCTAAATTCCATGCTCGAGTCACTGGAGTTCCATCTCCAAATATTATATGGCATAAAAATGGTCATCAACTTACGAATGGAGATAAATACAAATTAAAACGTGATGGGGAAGTATGTAGCCTTACTATAAAGGATGTAAATAGTGATGACKCGGGAYTGTACAGCTGTATTGCAACCAACAGAGATGGAACAGCTACATGCGAAGCACAACTTTCAATAGCTCCACGAATGTACTATAAATGTGTATACAAGAACTAAAATGTGAAATAATTATAATTTTTTTAGTGTTGATGAATCTAGGAAACAAGAACCACCATCCTTTATGAAGAAAATTGGTGATTGTGAAGTTTATGATGGAATGACAGCTAAATTTACTGCATGTGCTACTGGATGGCCAGAACCTGAGTATGAGTGGTTTTTAGATACTAATAGATTATATGAAACTGAAAGGATTAGAATGGAAAAAGAAGGTTCTGGTTTGCTGCGATTAAAAATATTACATGCCGATTCAATTATTGATTCTGGTCGATACAAATTACGAATCTATAACCCCCATGGAGAAGCCTATTGTGAAGCAAGCATTATATTTGATAGTAAGTTAATAATCAAATATTTAAAAAAATATATAACTCAAGTAATAATTATATTACAGATGGTTTGGATTCGCGTTCAAAACGCCCGGTCGGTGAACTTTACAAAGACTTTGACCGATATCGTGCAACTGGAGCACCGCTACCATTACCTGATCCTCCTTCAATTACTCGAATGTCTGATAAAAGACTTACTCTTACATGGAAACCTTCTTTACCAATCACGCCAAGGACTCCAGTAACATATTTAGTAGAAATGGAAGAACAGCCAAAAGGTGAATGGACAACAGTGAGAGCCGGTATTCGAGGTTGTGCTTGCGATATACATAATTTAATACCATTTAGAGATTATAAGTTCCGAGTTAGAGTTGAAAATAACTATGGAATTAGTGATCCTTCGCCATTTGTCCTGACATACAGGTACGATAAAAATACTGTAACAGTCTTAAAATATTTATTTAACCTTATAAAATCATTATTTTGCTTATTTTTAAAGAGAAAAGTTAGAGCCAGATCCACCTAAATTTACTCCTTATCTACAAATAGGAACTAACTTTAAGCCAGAATCATCGCCTTATTTCCCGAAAGATTTCGATATTGAAAGACCTCCTCATGACAACTACGCACAAGCGCCGAGGTAAATTAATTAGTGCACTGTTTTATGGCTTACATTTTCATTACCGTACTTACAGGTTTTTACATCAAGAACATGATACGCAATATGGTGTTAAAGGTCATAATGCAAATTTATATTGGTTTGTTTATGGATATCCAAAACCAAAAATGCAATATTATTTTGATAATCAGTTAATAGAAATGGGTGGTCGTTATGATTCAAGCTATACCCGAAATGGCCAAGCTACACTATTTATTAATAAGTAAATCATATTTTCTTAAATTTAAGCTTAAGTAAAAAATATAATTTAATAATTATCGTATGTTAAATTTAAGGATGTTGGATCGCGATATAGGAACATATGAAGCGGTTGCAACAAATGAACATGGAACAGCTAGACAAAGAGTTAGATTACAAATTGCTGAGTACCCTAAATTCATAAAACGACCCGAAGAAATGTATGTAATTTTACGTAAAAACTGTAAATTAGAAGCTAGAGTTATTGGTGTTCCGTATCCAGAAATAAAATGGTTTAAAGATTGGAAACCTTTGGTCGATTCTGCTAGAATTCAAGTAATTAATCAATTCATAAAATGAATGAATGTTTTATGTCATTATAATTATGTTATTTTGTTTTAAAATAATAGATTGAACAAGTAGAACCAAATGTTTGTATACTCCGTATCGAAGATGTTATTATGAAAGACGAGGGGTTGTATAGTATAAGTGCTCGTAATTTAGCTGGATCAATATCTACATCAGTGGCTATACATGTCGAGGACCGGGAATCTGATTATTCATACAACGGTAAAACTGACATAAAATGGAAGAAAAAAGATTTTTCAGAATTATATGATATTGGAGACGAGTTGGGACGCGGTACACAGGGTGTTGTGTACCACGCAGTAGAAAGATCAACGGGTAGAAATTACGCTGCCAAGGTTATGCATGCAAAAGGAGATCATTTGACGAAATTAATGGACAATGAGCTAAAAATAATGACTGATTTGAGCAATAGACGAATTATTCGTATTCATGATGCATATCAGACTTCCAGAACATACACATTAATCACAGAACTGTATCCTTTAATATAATTTATAATCTTGACGTTTTATTTTCACTACATAGTTTTATTTAATTTTTTTTTTTTTAGTCAGAAAATATTTATACTAATATAGTGAAATTTATAAATTACAATTTTATAACATTCTCTGAGATCAACGTATTACAAAAAAAAAAATCAATAGTATGTATCAATTGTACATTTACAGGTAAGAAGGGGGGGGGGTTCAAAGAGTGATATCCAAATCTGTACTACATTATTTAAAACATCGATAATTTCCTTGACTTAAAACAAAGTGCTGGAGGTGGTGAGCTTTTGGATATTCTAACCAAACATTCTTTCCTCACAGAATATGATATAGCTTTATATATAATTCAACTACTAAAGGCTTTGAAGTACATGCACGATTTTGAAATTGCCCATTTGGGACTGACAGTGAGTACTTACTATATATACTTACTATATATATTAACTATTTATAATTATTTATTACGTTTCTAAACTCTTAGCCTGGAGATTTACTAATATCTCACCCAGGAGGCGATACATTAAAGTTATGTGATTTTGGACTCAGCAGAAAAATTAATAGAAGAAAATTGGAACCAGTTGATTATGGTATGCCAGAGTTTATTTCTCCTGAAATAGCTAAAGGAGAAGGCGTTGACCTTTCATCCGATATGTGGTCAGTTGGAGTGATAACTCATTTACTTTTAACTGGAGTATCATTATTCCGTTGTGTAAATGATGCTGATACTTTGAATCGAGTAAAAAGTGGATCTTATACACTTAGTACCAAAATCAGCGATTTAGCTAGGGACTTTATCTCAAAACTGTTAGTATATAACTCTAATGATCGTCTGGATGTTATAAGTGCTCTACAGCATCCCTGGTTACAATTTGGTGAAGATATACCCGCAGGAACTAGTCAAATAAACACAGATTCTCTTCGAAATTATTACAACAACTTGAAGTAAGATTTTTAAACTTCAGATCTCATTTTTAATAGTTTAACACAATTTATTTATATTTTCAGGGATTGGTATAGTAACTCGTCTTGTAGAAATTGGTATAGACGCCGTCCATTGTCTTCTGCATTCACTCATCCATCAAAAATGATTTATCCGCCTAGTTTAAATTGCACTCCAAGTCCTACTCCAGAACCAGAAATAAAGCCACCAAAGAAACATGTACCATCATGGAAAGATAAACTTCCATCCAAAGAGCCAATAGATACAGAAATAGGAATAATTAAATCAGAAAGTCACTATCAATATGGYCCCGATACATATTTGTTACAATTAAGAGACACAAATTTCCCAGTGCGTTTAAGAGAATACATGAAAGTTGCCGGTAAAAGTTTAACACTTAGAGGAGGAAGTGATTCACATTTAGACTGGGAGGTAATCGAAGCTATAAAATAATTATAATGCATTTAAAATATAAATCAGAATAAGATTATCGAATTATAACCAAAATAATATTGTTTCAGGCTCCAGTTATTCGTGAAAGAAGGAAATTTACAGATATCATGGATGAAGAAATTGAAGATGAACAAAAAGCGAGAATCAGCAAATATGGTGCTGACATTTACACATTAAGGAGACTTAAACAAGAAATAGGCTCTAGACCAACTGCTCATGTAGAAGCAGAAGCAATTTTAGAATCAAGAATTGATGGACAACCGCCATTCTTTAGAGAAAAGCCTCAAAAATTACCAGTTGAACCAGATAAACCAGTTGATCTTATGTGCTTAGCTGTTGGAGTACCAAAACCATTAGTTCAGTGGTTCAAGTTAGTTTTTATTTTTATAGGAACATATCATAGATAAAATAAATATATTTTACTAGTAAATATTAATATGTTATAGAAATGATATAGTTTTAACTGAAAGTCATAGAATAAAAATGTTAGAAGATAATGATGGAAGATCTATTCTCAGATTAGATCCAGCTACAGAGTTGGATCTAGGAATATATAAAGTTGTGGCCAGAAATAAATTTGGACAAACTACAGCAAGAGCTCGGTAAATTGAGTTATTTTATTTATTTAATTTTTATAGATTTTCGTACTTATACTTAAATTTTTAAAAGGCTCGTTTTAGCACACGAACCTGGACCTATGGAAGCACCGATAGTAAAAGAATATTCTGATACTGAAATTTTGTTACGATGGGAACATCCGAAACATGATGGAAATGCTCCAATATTATGCTATCAATTGGAAGTACGAGAAAATGGTAAGTTGTATAATTTAATGAAATGCGTTGTTCTTCATCTACGATTGAATGAATTAAATTATGTAATTATTCTATTAAAATGCTGTCATATTTTTTTWATTTTTTTTTTCAATAGTCAATTAAGCTTAAAATGCTGTGTATCTAATCAAATATATTACTGAATTGTAAATTATTACAATATCAATTTATTGCCTTACAAGTTATTTGTGTATAGGTACATTCTTTTAATAACTAACTACAGATGTACAAGCTTATACAATTAATATACACAAAAATTAAATTTTTAAAATTAGAAAACCYATAATGTATCTACATAATGATTCACCGAGTATACTCATTTTCCTGTCTTTCTTCAATAATCCACTTACAAAAATCTGATTTTTTGGTCGATCCCAAATAGTTGGGAGAGAA